ATAGTATCTAGTATAGTATACTCCATTAATAAATAGATAACATGGATCACATTATCTAGTATAGTATACTCCATTAATAAGTAGATAACATGGATCACATTATCTAGTATAGTATACTCCATTAATAAATAGATAACATGGACCACATTATCTAGTATAATATACTCCATTAATAAGTAGATAACATGGATCACATTATCTAGTATAGTATACTCCATTAATAAATAGATAACATGGACCACATTATCTAGTATAGTATACTCCATCAATAAATATATAACATGGATCACAGTATCTAGTATAGTATACTCCATCAATAAATATATAACATGGATCACAGTATCTAGTATAGTATACTCCATTATATTGCAAGCAGTGATGTATATTCAAACAGAAGTTTAAGATGTGGATACCTGCTTGATTTTCAGAACTACAAATCATTTTCCGTGTTATACTGGCTTTAAAAATAAATCGAAACTGTTATAAAGCATCATTTAAATGTGTATAGGCGAAATTTAAGCAAAGTTTTAACTTCAGAAAAGAAAGTAAACCCCAGTTGGTACGAAACGTTGAACCCCGCCCAGGAGGTGTGTGCAGATCGGTCTATAAATATCGCTTAGAATTCGAGGACCAAAATAAACTGGTTTCGGTAACCGACGCGATGTGCTGTGTTTTCCTTGTATAGAGCTAAACTTGGAAGTTAAAATACGAAGGACAGAGCAGTGAACTACTAAGGAAGTGCATATCAGTCCTATTGAAGTTAACGCCATAGAAACGGTGACCAGTAATATATCATAGAATAATTTTGAAATATTTCTACGAACTTGAAGTTAGGACCGATAAACGTTCTTTATTATCGTTAAATGTAAGTTGATTTCTTTGTCACGGTCGCGAGGAGTGTGTTTGCTAACATGAAACTGTTGATTATACGTTCCAATTTAACTAACCAAATACTACTGCTCTGAGGGACAAACATGTCGCAACTCGAAGTATGGACAAGACGGAGTAAAAGTCGTAGCAGAAGTAACATCTCCGAATCGAGTCTTACAAATATACCAGAATACGATGGATACCTCATATCTCTCCAAGACAAGCTGCTTTCTGAATGTTTTAATCTGACGACGATTGCTGAGTGGGATAAAGCTCGCGTTCTGGAGGTTGGGTGTGGCTGTGGGGACACGACTCGACAACTAGTTGATCGGTTACCTATTATCCGTGATATTCTCGGGGTAGATTCAGATGTGGATGCTATCGATTACGCCTTCTCAATTCACGCTGATGAAAAACTCGACTTTGCCAACGTGAAAATTGACGACATTAGTACATTTGACTTGAAATGGGGCAGCAAATTTGATTGGATGTTTTCAACTCACGCTCTACTGTGGGCACGTGAACAGTCAACAGTTCTTAGGAACTTAATGTGGTGTCTGAAACCTGGAGGTAGATGTTTTATTGCTGTTCCAGCAGGAAAACCTCCAGATCTTCATGCAGCTCTAGTAAAAGTATTCAAATCTTCTTCTTGGAGCAAGTATTTTGTGGTAAGATTTTTTATTAGAGCGGAATATAATAAACAGAAATAAAGAGAGTAAACAAAATATCGTTGGTATTGTTCGTTGCTGAGAATAATTATACAGTACGTTTTTTAAAATTGAAATTATCTTTTTATGTGATTCGCACTCTGAGATAGCATAATTTCATAGAATTTTTACGATTTTTCACATAAAGATGCTCTACCAACGTAATTTTTTTGCATTGATTACTAGTGACATCTGTGACTCAACAGACTCAATGAAGTTATTATAAGTTAATTGAAAAGCTATAAATAATTTATATACTAGAGTGACTCAATTATATCTTATCATTTTTCGCTCGAGCAACAACTGGCTTATCTGTTTATATTTCATTATGGTTTGTTATGAATGTCGCGCAAAGCTACACGAGGGCTATCTGCGTTAGCCGTCTCTAATTTAGCAGTGTAAGACTAGAGGGAAGGCAGCTAATCATCACCACCGACCGTCACATTATAACACCCCCACGGCTGAAAGAGCAAGGATGTTTGGTGGGACGGGGGATTCGAACCCGCGACCCTTAGATTGCCCTAACCACCTGGCCGTTTCGGAATGACAACTATCGATAATAGTACCATGAATCACCCACATGATTTACATATATATGTGTGTGTTTGTGTATTGAGTTTGATTTTGACTTTCTGTCACCAATAAATCGATCAGAAACAAATGTAATATTCAATGTTTACATTGAATTATTGAGTCAAGGAGATGTTTCGCGCATTCACCCCTTTTCAAGGTACACACACCAGTAAGTAAAGTCTGTGCACTTCAGTTTAAACCTTTTATTCATGTCAGAAACTCGTGCTCTGGATTTTTTTTTCTCTCTTAACTTTTCATCTAGTTAGTAAGTTTAAGTTCTCATATCGTAGATACAGCTGTCTTCAAAATCGTACAGTGGCCTACAGGAAAGTCTAATTTTTTACTATTACTTTGTCGAATATATATCTTCTAACCCTCGTCTCCACGCAGTTTTACCAATATCCATGCTGTTGTCGCGTATGCATCGCATATTACAGTGGTAATATTATCAGATGCACATGTAATGGTCTTTTAAATAGAGTTAACTTTGAAACTTTGTCCCAGTCCATTGATTAGTGTTTTATTTTGTTAACTTATGGTTTGTACCAGTAAAAATCGTATTTTAGGTTATGAAAAATGTAGTAAGGGGCTGGAACAAAATGTTAGCATCTTTAATCAGATAATTGAAGTGTTGTTTCGTGATGTGACCAATTTGGTTTGGTTTTTTATGAATTTCGCGCAAAGCTACACCAGGGCAATCTGCGCTAGCCGTCCCTTATTTGGCAGTGAAAGACTAGAGGGAAGGCAACTAGTCATCACCACCCACCGCCAACTCTTGGGCTACTCTTTTACCAACGGATAGTGGGATTGACCGTCACATTATAACGCCCCCACGGCTGAAAGGGTGAGCATGTTTGGCGGGACGGGGATTCGAACTCGCGACCTTCAGATTGCGAGTCGAGCGCCTTAACCACCTGGCCATGCCGGGCCACTCAATAAGAGAGACAATGAGTCAGATAATACTTTACATGAAAGTCAACGAGGCTAAAAACATTCATACTCTGAACAGTGATTTTACTTACAACGACTATCCATTAGTATGGTGGTTAACGTGCAGGCCTATGGATTCGAGGATCTATGGCCACATTGCCGATAAAAAAAAAGCGCTGTGAACTTTGAAGTCATTGATGCGTTATAAGAATAACGGTTAAATTTCACCAATCGATTATTGTATCCCAAGATTTGGCGGTGGGTGCTGTTGAATAGCTGCTTCCTTCTAGTTTCTCAGTTTTAAAAGAGAATGTTATTGCAGATAAACCTTGTATAGCTTTGTGCTAATTTCCAAGACAAACCAAAGCCTCTTTCTTGTTGAGAGTATTTCGTCTTCGTGTTTTCAGACGAAGTCGGTGAGAAAAATGCTTAATATCAACTTTTACAGCTTATTAGTCTGATTTTATTGGTGAAGTAATAAATTTGAATTTTCAAGCTAGTGAGTTATGTGTAAAGTAATTCAGTTGGACATCTGACGGTATGGTTCTGGATGTATTAGCACTAGAAGTTTCTGTGTAATGCGAATGACCAAATTTTTAATATTATTATCTGACGTCAAAGTGATTTCCAAATTGTTTGACTGAGTTCACCACCTCTACAGTACTACTAAGAAGGCCTAACGACGCCAATATTATCCTTTACAGACATTCCAATCTTTATCTTGATGTTTTCGTTATGAACCTCTAAAGTAATTTTCATACAACAAACGCCACTTTCAAAATATCGCATTGAATGCAAGCAGGTTGGAACAACAACATTTCAAACCATGGCTAACCAGCGATCTGGAGAACCTGTTGTTTTTTGTTTTTGAGACAGATGGTTTCAGATCTGGTTGTGGATTTGATAGACGATAATTGTAACTGTCTCTGGTTTCATCACCCACATGCTGACCGAGTTTATTCTGCTCTCTTGGATCAAGCAGGCTATCAAACATTGGAGCCAACTTCGTTCCCTTTTTTTTTTACCTGTAATATATTTAATATAC